CGTAGTGTAGTAACTCCCTCACAGATGGCGTTATGAGGGGCATCACATGAAGTACTAGTTCCCTCACAGGTGGTGTTGTGAGGGGCTTGACGTGGTGTAGTAATTCCCTCACAGATGGTGTTATGCGGGGCCTGATGATGTAGTAGTAACCTCACAGATGGTGTATGAGGGGCCTGATGATGTAGTAATTCCCTCACAGATGGTGTTATGAGGGGCCTGATGTGGTGTAGTAATTCCCTCACAGATGGTGTATGAGGGGCCTGATGTGGTGGAGTAATTCCCTCACACATGGTGTATGAGGGGCCTGATGTGGTGTAGTAATTCCCTCAAAGATGGTGTTATGAGGGGCATCACGTGGTGTAGTAATTCCCTCACAGATGGTATTATGAGGAACTTCACATGATGCTGTAGCAATTCATTCACTACGTGGTGTCGTAGCATCATGGGGACATCACGAGCTCTGTTGTCACAGGACTTCACTCACTCAAGTGGGTGAGGTGTGGTCTTAGGCCTCTCTATCGTAGAGTCTCAGGGGAATTATCACTGGGTACCTGGGACCTCACTGTGTGAAGGTTAGCTTGGGAAAGACTCAACTGCCGAGTTGTTTTTCACTGACTTAAGCACTGTTCACCACTATTCAACACTGGTTCCATTCCTTTCCCAAATGAAATAGTAACTTCTGGCGAGAACTTGATGATATTACGGTGGGGAGGAGGGTTCAGGGGAGGGAGTTGGTATGGGCCAACATAGCAGTTGACGTGGCTGCTGCTGATTATAATAATAATAATAATAATAATAATAATAATAATAATAATAATAATAATAATAATTAACGGTTTATTAAAAGAGCTTGGCAGCCAGAAGGCTGAAAATATACAGTTTCATATTTGGGGAATGGGTTTCGAATTACAAATAATATACAAATAACATAAGTGATATAAATAAGATATATAATAACTAGATGGGGGAAAAGCTCAAACTACAGGGCATTTCCACATAGTGACAGTGCAAGAAGTAGTATTTACTGGGAGTGAGTGAATACACTGGTTTATTACAAGTTATTGATAATTTTTACAATGGTTGGGACTGGGCTGTTCTTATAGCGATCAGTTCGTGCACGTATGGGCTGGATGCGGTTGTGGTGTCTAACAGCAATTCTCGGGCTAGGGATCTCAGGTGGTAGTAGGGGCCGGTGTCGAGGATGGTGTAGAAGCTTCTTACCAAATTTGCAGATGAGGTCGTGGTGGAGTAGGAAGGGGAGAGAATAATCTTGCATGCTCTCCTTTGCACTTTTTCTAGGTGTTTACGTTGTGTGGCATTTAGGGAGGAAGACCAGGTAGGGGAGGCATAGGTGAGCTTAGGAAGTGTAAATGTTGAGTAAACACTGAGGAGCTCGGTTGCAGGAACTCCGAGGGACTTGAGTCGGCGGAGGAGGTGGAGACGGAAACTGGAGGATTTGACAACTTCACTGACGTGTGGTTTCCAATTTAGTTTGTTGTCTATGGTGACGCCGAGGAGCTTAGTGGAGTCTACAACTTGGAGTGTGTTGGGGCCTAAGTAATGGAAGGGGGTGGGACAACGTCGGAGGAGAGGTTGATGTGCATAACCATGGTCTTGGTATGGTTGATGGTGACATGGTTGTCGGTGGCCCAGTTTGGAGACTGGGTAAATCCTGAAGAATTGTGAGTATAATCAGGGAGCAAATTGTTGACGCTGATCCCAATGGTGGAGTCGTCGACATATTTCCAGCGAGCGGGGGGTTCTCTTAGGGCATCATTGATGAGCATAAGAGGAAGCAGAAGTGGTCCATCTTGGTACATGGGGACGCCACAGGTGAGTGACTGAAAGGTGGAGACAGCCCCTCGGAAGCGTACAGCTTGGCGTCGGTCACTGAGGAAGTCTGTAAGCCATGGTATAAGACTTCTCCGAAGCCCGAGGCCAATAGCTTTGTTGATGATAATATTGTGGTCGACTAGGTCGAATGCTTTAGTGAAATCAATGAAGGCGACAGCTACAGACGTTTTTCGTTTCTCGAGATGGCGGTATATGTAATCGAGAAAGCTGACAAGACAGTGAGTGGTGGAGGAAGTTTTCATATTGCCAAATTGCTGAGGGTCTACGACTCCTGCAATATCATCATAAGCCCAGTCGAACACAAAACTTTCACAGATTAGGCTGGGTATTGGGGTGATTGCAATAGGTCGTAGCTGATTTAAGGATTGTGGGCTGGTTGACTTGGGCACTGGTGATACATAAGAGGTCTTCCAGTCAGCTGGGCATCTGGCTTGACTGAGAAAGCATTGATGATGGAGCATAGGGGTTTAGCAAGCTCCGGGGAGAACTCCTTGAAGAGTTTCATTGGTAAGTCAATGGGGGTGGTAGAGCAATTTAATTTTAGTTTGTCCAGGCGTTTTGCTACTTCAAATTCTTCTACTAAGTCAGTGGGAAGGGGGGCTGGTTGGTAAGCAGGGAGAGTGGTTGTGTCAAGCCGGGGGAGCGTCTGGCATATAGTAGCGAAATGGTTATTTGATTGCTCAGCTGCGTCAACATTAGTGAGATGGCTAAGGAAGGGGAGGGGGTGTGTCTTATTGTTTAGTTCACAGAGTTCTTTAAGCTTACCATACCATTGACTGATGTTGGTCTGTTTCAGGTGTTGTAATTTGGTTGGGTAGTGGGACTTCTTTGCAGTGCGTATTTCGCAGATGACTCGGTTGCGAAGGGACCTGTAGCGGATGTGGTCATTGAGATGAAAGGCTCTGTCTCTCTGTTGCATAAGTCTTTTGATCCGAGGTGTGATCCAGGGCAAGTCAGCTGGGTGAGATCTGACGGACTTCTCGGGAAGAAGTGGTGGTGAGCTTCCGTGGTGGTGTTGGTATAATTTATCCATTTGGTTTCCACGTCTGTCTGAGTGTGTGCGTGTTATTATGTGCGATATTAATGTTGTGTGTTATTGTGTGTGTTTGTGGTTGTGAGTGTAATGTGTGTGCGTGTTGTTGTAGTGTGTGTGTGTGTGTGTGTTTGTGTGTGTGTGTGTGTTGTGTGTGTGTGTGTGTGTGTGTGTGTGTGTGTGTGTGTGTGTGTGTGTGTGTGTGTGTGTGTGTTGTTGTGTGTGTGTGTGTGTGTGTGTGTGTGTGTGTGTGTGTTGCGTGTGCGTGTTGATATGTGTGTGTTTGAGTGTGTGTGTGTGTGTGTGTGTGTGTGTGTGTGTGTGTGTGTGTGTGTCATAAAACTGTCAGATCTGTTCCTCCTTGAAGGAGTACGGGTATAAGCTAACAAACCGACGATAACAAAGAACTAGGAAACAAAATGATAAAAAAAAAAAAAAAATTAATACAAAAAATATTATTGGAATTACGGAACAAATGAGCATCACTGACCGACTTGTTCTCTATGTTAGGGAAATATTCACCTCAAGACCAACATAAATGTGGTGTGTGTAATAAATAATTAACGGTTTATTGAAAAAATTCTGCAGCCCGAAGGCTGAAAATATACATTGGACATAAATGACTTATTACATACATTGGTGGTTTAACAAAAGCCTTCATTAGAGAAAGGTAAAGGAACATACAGTGAATTTATACAGATTAATATGGGTGTTGAACCCGGCAAACTCGTAGTGTCAGTAACTCCTCCCAGATGGTGTTGGAAGACTCACGTGGTATGTGAATTCCTCAGATATTAGTTGTTATAGAAGGACCTGGCGTGAAATTGGCAATGAATTCCCTCGCAATTCTGGTGTTATGAGGGACCTCACGTGGTGTAGTAATTACCTCACAGATGGTGTTATGAGGGGCCCTCACGTGGTGTAGTAACTCCCTCACAGATGGTGTTATGAGGGGCATCACGTGGTGTAGTAATTCCCTCACAGATGGTGTTATGAGGGGCCTGACGTGGTGTAGTAATTTCCTCACAGATGGTGTGATGAGGGACTTGACGTGGTGTAGTAATTCCCTCACATATGGTGTTATGAGGGACATGTGGTGTAGTAATTCCCTCACAGATGGTGTTATATGAGTGAGGTTTGGTCCCAGGCCTTCCTATCGTAGACAGATTAACACATCGCTGGTTGTTGTTGGGTCTCATGGGCCGTTATCACTGGGTACCTGGGACCTCACTGTGTGAAGGTTAATTTGGGTACGACTGTTACTGTTGAGTTGTTCTCACTGACTTAAGCACTGTTCACCACTGTTCACCTCTGTTTAACACTGGTTCCGTTCCTTTCCTAAATGAAATTGTAACTTCTGGCGAGAACTTGTTGATATTCCGGTGGGGAGGAGGGTTCAGGGGAGGGGGTTGGTATGGGCCAACTTAACAGTTGAACTGGCTGCTCCGAGAGGAGCGCCAGGTACGTCTTGACCCTTCGGTGGTCAAGGATGTAGTGTGTGTGTGTGTGTGTGTGTGTGTGTGTGTGTGTGTCTCATAAAACATCAGATCTGTTCCTCCCTTTGAAAGAGTACACGACTGAGAGTCACAAGGGCATAAAGCTAATAAACCGACGATAACAAAGAACTAGGAAACAAAATAAAACAAAAAATAAAATAAAAATAATAAAAAAAATATTGTTGAAATTACCGAACAAATGAGCATCACTGACCGAGTTGTTCTCTATGTTAGGGAAATATTCATCTCAAGACCAACATAAATAACCAAAACGAACACAACTTAGGGGAAAACAAGTAACAATATCATCATCTTCCTTAAGTAAACTTTTCGTATACATGATCAATCTTCCTGGAAACAAACTCCAGAAAACAACTTAAATTTTAATCTAAAAAAATGACATTTAAATCAAGAATCTTCATGGCAATACGCAGTCACGACAAAAAATATATATTTTCCTAGAATTGATTAAGAAATGTCGGGCTGCTTCCCGACTCCAACCAGTTAATGGGGGAAGTGGGGAAAATCCCAGTCAGGTAATTCCCCCACCATGACAATTATATCAAGGTACGTAGATACCTACCTTGGATTATATATATGAAGACGCTGTCCCTTGGTGACCAGTAACCCCCGAGCATTGAGAGGGATAATACACCCGCTTGTTGTCTCCTGACGTATGACCAGAGTTCTTACACTGTAGGTGCATCAACCGTCCCTTAATGTGAGTAAATATTCTTGTTGAGGACGATGGTTTAACCTTTTGAGGACGATGGTTTAACCCTTTGAGGACGATGGTTTAACCCTTTGAGGACGATGTTTTAACCCTTTGAGGACGATGTTTTAACCACCATCTTCAAAGGGTTAAACCATCGTCATCAGAAGGATTAAACTAGAGAGATCCGTCGACGTGCAAATGAAAAGTATATTAAAATTCGACCTTTCTTTTCTTTTTCCAGAACCACTTGTTTCGTCACGGCAGTCCCCAAAATGCATCGTCAGCAAGTGGTCTCCCTCGTCTTGTCTCTCTGCTTCCTCCTGGTCGTCGACGCCACCTCCTACGGCGGCTACTACAGGTATCACAGACCATCTTGGCTACGCAGAGGTCTCGGTCACTATGACGGGTCACGACACTTCGGCAACATTTTTAGGCCAGGGGATACCTTCGGGGGCAGTGTTGGTGCCCCAGGGGGTAACTTCGGGAGCCGTGTTGGTGCCCCAGGGGGTAATTTCGAGGGTAGTGTTGGTGCCAAAGGGGGTAACTTCGGGGGCAGTGTTGGTGCCCCAGAGAGCGCTGATGTTTCAGGCTGTAACTTCGGCGGTGGAACCATTCATCCAAGAACTAATCGCCCCAGCAGTAGTGGTCGCCCGAGGTGTAACTTCGGCAGCACCACCTCCCAAATTAACTCTGGTAACACGAGCAACAGAGCGCCCGCCGACCCCACCGTCAACACCGAACAGATCACAAACTTAGGCAGAGGTAAGACGTAGAGTTACCTCACATCTCTCTATCTCCTCCTCCACCTCTTTTCTCCTACACTGCTCCACCATACACCCCCAACCCCCATAATCACTCTCTAACACATCTTCACTTTCCGCGCCTCCATCTTTTGGTCCTCATTCTTTCTCTCATTTCCTCCTCACAACCTCTCTCTTACTTCAACATTGGTCTGTTCACCTGTGTCAATTCACCTCATTTCACCTTCCGAAAATTTTAATCCACTCTCTTCCTGTTCTACTGCCTACTATAACCTCCTCCTTCCCGGCCATAGTCGACAAGTGTCTTCTCATCACTATACCAATGGGGTACAGATATGTCCCTTTACAGTAACCCGGAAGTAAGGTGTGTGTCTCTCTTCCAACTTCCGGAACTAAGTTATGTCTCTCTCTTCCACCATCCGGAACTAAGGTATGTCTCTCTCTTCCACCATCCGGAACTAAGGTATGTCTCTCTCTTCCACCATCCGGAACTAAGGTGTGTCTCTCTCTTCCACCATCCGGAACTAAGGTGTGTCTCTCTCTCCCACCACCCGGAACTAAGGTGTGTCTCTCTCTCCCGCCACCCGGAACTAAAGTGCGCGTGTGTCTCTCTCCCCCTACAGGAATCTGCCCACCAGTACGCCCCTGCACGGTCTCCTCCAGGACACGGCCTGTCACCTGTACCTCGAGCGCTCAGTGTGTCGCGGGCCGCAAGTGTTGTTTTGATAGTTGTATACAGACAGAGGTGTGTAAAGTGCCTGTCTAGCTGACAACACCAACCGCTGACAACATCTACTGCTGACAACACCTACTGCTGACATCTACCACTGACAACTACCGCTGACAACACTAGCCTTACTAGTATTCGGATATGTTTAATACATGTATGTTTATTTATTAATCATTTTATATAAAACGTGCAGTGTTAGTAGTGTTTCTCGACCGTGATAAGTACAGTATTAGTTTTCATTTTTTTTTTGTGATGGCAACCTTTCAAAAACTATGGCAACCCTCTCAATAAATATGGCAAACTTTTCAATAAATATGGCAACCCTCTCGAAAATTATTATAACCTTCTCAATAAAAATGGCAACCTTCTCAATAAATATGGCAACTGTGTATCTACATAATATTAAGGTATGCGGTATATTCATTTTATATCAGTCACCGTTGCAAGAGCAGTTTTCTATGAACCAAGCATAAATGATAGATGTATGTACTTGTTATAATTAGTTTATTTTTGGCATTGGAAGTGAATTATCTTGGTTCCTAATATTTTGTAATCACATAATACTATGTATTTATATAAAGAAGTTTTGAGTTAATAATTTAATTGTGAAGGATGTACTGCTGTTGCGCTTCTAGAAGATCTCTTTCTCCAAGCAGACTCAGGGTGTGAACCTGAAACCAGGAATGTGACTATTTTCATCCATTGTATATCTCATGTTTTAGTATTAATTGCTCACTAATGTTAAGGGTGGAAGTTGGGTGATATTTTGTGAATGGAGGAAGAGCCATACTATATAACTAAGACAGATAAGCTACATGTATTAAATAAGTTGGGTCACAGGACCATACAGTGTTATTGTCTATACTCTTGTTTATTGTAAATATATTAAGTATTAGTAGTTACTTTGAACCCCGACTACACTATTTAAGGAATAGTGTCCTTGGATACATGTTCACAAAGGTAATCGAATGGAAATGTCATCTTCAACTGTCAGGTGGAGGTAACAAAGGTTTGTCTAAGTGATTCTGGTCTGTTAACCAAAGCTGTTATTTCAGAACGTGAGTCTGATTAATGGGACTTGGGGTTGAAACACTGCTGGAAGAGGAGGATTATTTAGTAATGGATGTGACACAACCTTCTCGATAAATATAACAAACCTTTCAATACTAATGGTAACTGTCTATAATTTTAGCAACCATACTAATAAATATGGCAACCTTGCAAATCATTATAACATTCCTCTCAATAGTTATGGAAACCTTCCCAATAATTATGGTAACCTTTTCAATAATTATGGCAAAGGTCTCATTAAGTAACTATGGTAACCTTCTCAATAAATATGGCAACTCTCAATAATGGCAACCTCAATAATTATGTCATCATTTTCAGTAAGCAATTATGGCAGACCCTCAAAATAAATAACCATGACAATCCTCTCAATAATTAATTATGGCAACCTCAATAAATAATTATGGCAACCTTTTCAATAAATAACTATGGTAACCTTTTCAATAAATAACTATGGTAACCTTTTCAATAAATAACTATGGTAACCTTTTCAATAAATAACTATGGTAACCTTCTTAATAAATAACTATGGTAACCTTTTCAATAAATAACTATGGCAACCTTTTCAATAAATAACTATGGTAACCTTCTTAATAAATAACTATGGCAACCTTCTCAATTAATAACTATGGCAACCTTCCTAATAACTATGGCAACCTTCCCAATTAATAACTATGGCAACCTTCCTAATAACTATGGCAACCTTCTCAATAAAGAACTATGGCAAGCTTAAAACAATACAAGTGGCAGAAGAGCAGTATCAACATGAGTGATGAGAACAGTCCAACAATACTCACCCAGCGTCACCCTCACCACTGTGACCGTCATGAAGCTCACCTGCAATAGAAGGTGTTACATTATTACATATGTACTGTACACCTGTATGTGTATTTAATGACATTTTTAAGTTACAGTAGTTATATGTATACAAGGACATGTGTGTATGTATGTATGTATGTATGTATGTATGTATGTATGTAATAATAATAATAATAATGATAATAATAAACGGTTTATTAATAGAGTTGGAACCGGTGGCTGAAAATATACAAACTTACATGTGATTGAGACATAATAATATACGTTCAATGCATTTACAGGGCTGTACAGTACATATATCAGGTGCTGTTTATTATTTTAACAATAGATGGGATGGTGCTATTCTTATATCTATCAGTGCGGGCTCTTATGGGTTGAAATTTGTTGTAGTGGCGGACTGTGTGAGGTGGGCGGGTGACTGCAGGTGGCAGTAGGTGGCGATGACGACAATGGTGCAGAAGTCCACTGCCATACCCTGCTAGTGCGTGATGGTGGAGGTCACTGAGGGATGACATTTCCAGGGTGGAGAGAGCGTTGTTATAGCCGGAGTAGTCTGCGCAGAGCATGATTCTGCAGGCCCTCTTCTGTACCTTCTCTAGCTGATGTTGTTCGATAGAGTTGAGAGAAGACGACCAGGCTGGTGACGCATACGTTGATTTGGGGAGAATAAATGCATTGTAGATAGTCCTCAGCTCTGGCGTGGGTGCCCCAAGTGAGCTGAGTCGTCGTAGCATGTAGAGTCGGTATGAGGCTGCCTTGATTGTGTTGTTTACATGGGCCTTCCAGTCCAGTTTGTGGTCTATGGTAACACCCAGGAGTTTGGCAGACTGTACTAACTGGAGAGGATGGGCACCCACTGTATTTGCTCGAGCTTGCACTCGAGTGGTGGCCAAACTTTCGATTGGCGGATTATCAGGGGTTAAGAATGAAGATTTCAAGTGTTCCCTGAAGAAGGCAGTGATGGGTAGGGAAACACCGGGTAACACTGAAGTCCATTTATTAACGGATAGGAGAAATACAAGTGGTGACTAGCGTGTGACTTGCACGACCCACAGAGTCAGACTGAGACTGCCTTGCCATATGGAAGCCTCGGGGCAATGTTGCCACATAACACGTGCAGTGTTGCCACGTAATTACATATGTAAATGCTACTCGGCACAGTAGCTTATTTACAAGGTTGCTACTCGGCACAGTAGCATAGATATATAACCTACAAAGAAGGTATCTAGGTGAGGTCGCCTGGGAATAGTCAGGTCAGTCCCCGGTAGGAAAGGGTGAGGTCACAGGTGACACTACAATTGATCATGACTATAATATATTCACTCTTATACTATGTAAAGCACATGAACAAAATATACCCTACACAAAAATTAGGTCAAATATAGATGAGCCAAGGTGGATGACCAAAAAAGTTAAACATGACATAGGAATAAAGAAAGGAATTTATAAGAAATTAAAGGGAGGGGAGGAGCATCTCAGAAATAGGTATAATGAACTATCTATGAAAGTTAAAAAAAATGTAAGGAGGGCAAAGAGGGACTACGAAATCAGGATAGAAAGAGAATCCAAGGCGAATCCCAAGGGATTTTTCGAGGTATATAGGACAAATGTCAAGGACAAAGTGGGGCCTTTAAAGTCGGAGAGAGGGGAAGTGATCGATGATAGTGCGGGATAAGCAAAGCATTAAACAGCTACTTCTTATCAGTTTTCACAGAAGAGATTCACGAGGAAATTCCAGAGGTGGAACTGATATTTAGGGGAAATGAAGAATAGAAATTAAAGAATATCACTCTCAGAAAAGAGGATATTCTTAAGAAGATAAATAAATTAAAGAAGACAAAATCCCCAGGGCCGGATGAAATTTCCCTCGAGTTTTGAAAGAGTGTAAGGAACAGTTTAGCTGACTCCTCGTAAATTTATTTACAAAATCATTAGACACGGAAGTTGTGCCAGACTTGTGGAAACAGGCAAATGTAGAACCCATATTAAAAAAGGGAGACAGATCATCAGCGTCAAATTACCGGCCGATTAGTTTGACGTCAGTAGTGGATGGATTTACAAAGGGAAAATCTTGCCTAACAAATCTGCTGACGTTTTTTAGGAAAGTCTTCGAGGTAGTAGATGATGACGAAAATTACAATGTTATTTACTTAGACTTTAGCAAAGCGTTTGACAGAGTAACGCATCAGAGGCTTCTCATAAAGGTTAAGGCTCATGGTATCGAGGGGAAAGTTTTAAATTGGATAAAATCATGGCTCAGCGATAGAACACAGAGGGTCAGCGTAGGTGATGTTATATCTGAGTGGGGATGTGTAACCAGTGGGGTTTCCCAGGGGTCAGTACTGGGCCCACTCTTGTTCATAATCTACATAATTGATCTAGATACTGGGATCAGCAGTGACATAAGCAAGTTTGCGGATGACACCAAAATAGGGCGGCAGATTAATTCAGGGCAGGATGCAAATGCACTACAGGAGGATTTAAATAAACTGCAGGAGTAGTCAGATTGGCAAATGAAATTCAACACCAGCTAGTGCAGCGTACTTAATATTAGAAGAACAAATACTGTCAATGTATACAGCCTTAACAACATCAACCTAGAGAAATCGACTTGTGAAAGAGACTTAGGGGGTACTTGTAAGCCCGGACCTACGGCCTAGAAAACAGTGCGTTAATGTTCGAAATAAGGCAAACAGAGTATTAGGTTTTTTATCAAGAAGTGCAAGTAATAAGAGTGCAGAGGTCTTATTACAACTATATTTTGCGCTAGTCAGGCCGCACCTCGATTATGCTGTTCAGTTCTGGTGCCCTTATTATAGAATGGATATCAATTCATTGGAGTCGGTGCAGCGAAGAATGACGAAAATGATTCCGGGACTTAGAAACCTTCCATATCAAGATAGATTAAAGAAACTAAACTTGCATTCCCTAGAAAGACGAAGAGTGCTGGGAGATATGATAGAAGTATTTAAGTGGGTGAAAGGAATCAATAGAGGAGATATAGATAAAGTTCGTATAATATCCGAGCAGGATAGGACTCGGAGCAACAGATTTAAGTTGGATAAGTTTAGGTTTAGGAGGGAGATAGGAAGGAACTGGTTCACAAATAGGATGGTGGACGAGTGGAACAAGCTTAGCAACTTTGTAGTAAGTGCTGAAACGCTGGAAAGTTTTATAAGGAGGCTATATAGATTCATGAATGATAGAGAGTGTTAGTAACTCGCAACAGGAGCTACCATGCACAGGCCAACCGGCCTATTGCAGACTCATTATTTTCTTATGTTCTTATGTTCTTATTGATGGTGACCTTGTTCTCCGTAGTCCATGCTTGTAGCCTGCCCAGGGTGCCTTTTAGCGATGAGTAGTCCGCTGAGGTGTTGTCCACTGTAACCCCCACAGTGCAGTCATCCACGTACTTCCACTTGTGAGGAGTGTCCGA